TTTGCTTATTTTTCCCCAAAGAGTGAGCGTGTGTATGTGTGTGAATGTTTGTTAAGGGGAGGATGGGGGTTGCTGGGTATGGTTTTGGGTTGTTTGCATACAGTTGTGCTACTAAATGGGCCATCTTCATACTTTGTACTCTGTATGTTATTGGTTTAAAAAATGTTCAATAAATAAAGTTGGGGAAAAAAAAAAAGAAAAAAAAAAAAAAAAAGAAAAATAGTCAGTCTGGGCACCTCAGAGGTGGTGGAGCTGTACTCTAAAGAGTAGAGCAGCTTTCCTCTCTGCTGCCTGGCCGAACCGTAGCCAACGTCCCCAACATCTGGCTGCACCTGGCAGGGACCAAAGAGAGAATCTTAATTCAATTCAATTCAATTTTATTTATATAGCGCCACATCACAACAACCGTCCATAACTCCCTCTGAGCTCTTGGAATAATCATCAGCTCCCACTCTGTGGCATGTTTAACATGTTTAACATGTTTAACATGACAGGTTTAGTTCAATTCAATTTTCAATTGAAATATTACAAAAACTGTCTATTTTTCTTACGGAAAAAGAACCTGTTGTAACGACTATCCAGGTATGACTCAATTAAGCATAAATAAAGATTAAAACAGGTACTTATAGGTACTTACGATGCTACAGAATAGTAGAGTGAGGCGTCAACCAGTGTTTGGAAACGAGATCTATGGTTTGTAACTGTTTTCAATTCAATTCAATTCAATTTTATTTATATAGCGCCACATCACAACAACAGTTGTCTCACAGCGCTTTCCAAACAGAGCAGGTCAGACCCTACTCTGAAGTTAACTACAGAAACCCAACAATTCCCACCATGAGCAAGCACTAGGCGACACAGGCAAGGAAAAACTTCCTTTTAACAGGCAGAAACCTGGAGCAGAACCATGGCCATCTTAGACAACTACATCTTAGAGAACTCATGCACACAACACTTTTAAGCTTTAGAGTTATGAAAAACTCATTTCGGGGCCCCGTTTTAATAATAATAATAATGAATTTTATTTTGAAAAAGCGCCTTTCGGGCCACTCAAGGACACTTTACAAAGACGAGCATCGTTAAAACAATATTGAAACATAAGAAAACATACAAAGTCAGAAATAAATCATAAATAAAAACATCATAAATAAATTCAATAAATGAATAAAACTGTGCAAAATGAGGGGAATGCTAGAGTTAACCCTATAATACCAAATGTATCATATTCATACGGTTTCTAAAGTCTTTTGGATCTGAGACTTTTTGCATAATTCTTTCTTCATATGTTGTTGAGGGGCCAAAGAAAGACTTCAGACTAAAAAAATCCATATTTCTTCCTATTTACTTGGATCAGACTTTAAAGGGTTAAGGGTGGTATGGTGGGTAAGAAATTTTAAACAGGTGGATTTTGAGTTTTGTTTTGAAAAGATTTCCAGAGTTTTGTAAGAGATCACATTCTAAATTAATGTAATGATATTTGGCCATCCGCCTATTATGATGGTATATTGTTCCTTATATCATTCTTTCTATTTTATATGATAAATGATTCATTTAACTGTCCGTAATTAAAACGTGCCTACAGCAAAGTATTAGAGCGAGCAGTAAATCTATCTGATGTGTGGAAATTAAAGCTCCCCGAGTCAAGTCTGAGTCTTTGTACGGAAATATCTAAACATCCAAAAGCTGATCAACTCTAAGGAGCGGAGAAATGGTTCTGCTCCGCTCTACCACCAGTTCAAACACTCTACGTTCCACGAAATAGCAGCATCCTGATGAAAAATCAATATTGTTAGTCTTGGGAGTGACGGTACCTGAGCCATGACAGCAAATACCTCCAAACCATGGTGTGACTGCCAGGAGATGGAAACAGCTAGTCCCCATTAGCTCTGTTTTAAATTGTGTTTGTGGATTTAAAATATTCAATTCAGGATTTATTTTTCTATTTAAAGGGGACATATTATGCAAAACCAAGTTTTTGATCATTTGATTATGTACATTTGGGACTGTGGAGGGCCTATCAGCAGGCAAAGTGTGAAAAAATATGACTCAGTCATGTTTTTGTGGGCCGCCTCAGTCTGAATCCAGGAGATAAATCAGGAGGTTTCAGGAGTGGGTAGTTTCTGACGTCATTAGCTCTAGCTCATTATAATATTCCAGCCTTTCACCTGCATGTTGCCCCCCCCCTCAGCTTACTCCCCTATCTGTGGAGACGTCCTGGTAGCGTGAGCGTTAGCATGGTAGCGTTAGCATGGTAGCGTTAGCATGGTAGCGTTAGCATGGTAGCGTTAGCGTGACGACGTGGGCACACCTCCCTGAAGAAGTGGGTGGATTGCCTGTGTCTCATTTGCATTTAAAGAGACAGGCACTCCAAAGCTAGCGCTCTGAACGGGGCTGTTTTGGGTTAGGGTTAGGGTTAGGGTTAGGGTTAGGCAGGGGGACTGAACTGCTATTGGGCTTCATCCTTATGGGATTTTGACCAAAAGTTGTCACAGACATTACATTAGGACACCAGGGAACTAGCTTAACTTGTTTAAATAGGGTATAATATGTCTCCTTTAAACGTCGTATCTGGAGAAGATACTCATTTATGAATTGCTAGGTGCTAACGGACAATAATAACATGCCAAATAGGGTATAATATGTCTCCTTTAAAGGTTG